CTGTATATAGATGCCTTGCTGTAATTTGGACAATGACTAAGAGGCATACGAAGAATAAGCACACAAATATATAATCACTTTCATTTTTGAACAAGGGATATGAATACTGTTCTATGTTATAATGTATGGCAATCCCTGCTTATGCTGTATGTAAGAGGGAGAAGTTGCTTGAAAGCCCCCCTTTGTGCAGAGAAGCAAGGGAGATGTTGCTTGAGAGCTACAAAGTTCACATTCAAATTTCCTCAAAGGTTGGGAATGCAAAAAAACCCTGGGTTTTGGGAGCATTTGGGAGCTGACCATAGGGTGAAACCTCTATGGTTGAAAGTCTAAGGTAAGAGACATATTAGCATAGCTATAGAAGATTTTAAGGAGGTTGACAACACTGAAAGTCTGCAGGGACAATTCATTATGGGTAATTTCAATTTCCCCTGTGAACTACTTGAATGGCACCTCAGGGATATGATCCAAAGGAGGACTATGGATACATAAATGTTTGCTTTCTGTCCTTCCATAAGGACAGAACTCCTGACTAACTTCAGAAATATGCAGGAATTAATAGAGGATGGACTGTAGTCGGTAATGCAGCGAGAAAGAGAACAGAACAGAGCTATGCACTGATCAAACTATAGTTTTCATTTTAAGTCAAAGTTTGGATGCAATTGAAGTCTGAGGAGGAAGGCACAGAATGATTCAAGTAACTAATCCCAAGAACAGAGTATTCAGGCAGGGGTTTTGCAGGCACATTCTGTGAAATAGCAGCGATATTAACAAGCATGTCAAAAGCCAAACTTCATGCGCTGGATCCACCCTCCCCCCTTGATTGTTCTGTCAGTGGGGCAAGGGATTGCTCACAACAGAGTGGGCGGTGTACCTTAATTCCTAACCCAGTATTACTGCAACTGTTCTGAAGCTCCACATTCATTCACTCCTTTATGGGAGTGTGGAATTTCTTGGTTCCCTAAAATGGAGGGTTTTGTGGCTGTGTTACTGTTCCCAGATAATCTCTACAAGACTGGGGGTGGAAACAGAATGTTTCCTTTATCCTTCCTCATCTAGTGTGGGGCTTCGCATTCCAGGACCCTGAATTGTGCAGTCCTTGGCCCCTGTCTAAACACAATTCCAACACCGAAGGGTGCTCTTCATGTTCCATGTTGGGGCGATACTATCTTGTGGATCTGATTTTCTTGCAGACTCTGGTGTAACTCAGGAGTAACCCCACTGAAGTTACTGGATTAATATCAGTGCACGTAAGGAGACAGTCAAAGCCATGTGGCACAGATCCTCAAAGATAAATGTAAGTTCCTAACTTGCACTGAAATCAATTTAAGTTAGGTGCCTAAATTACCTAAAGTGACTTCTGAAATCATGAAACCTCCCAATTTTTTTTTACAAGCAAAACTTAGTTTCAAGTGTTTCTCTAAATAAAAGGAAATGCAAATAAGAACTCTATAAGAATACACTTGACATGATGTGCTACTCTGTTACACATGGGATTTCTTTCACTTGCTTCTAATTTAGGAGACCGCTCTGTTTCTCCACAAATGCCAAGGAGGCAAAAAGGGGTCACCTCTGTCTCCCATCAACACATATGCATCATGAAGAGCAGCAGCAACAGCTACTATATCATTGATGAAAAATAAATAAAGGGAGGTAGGTTATTATATGAGATCATAACCTGTCTTCTACTCACTTCTGTAATTGGGATAGGTTTGTTCTAGCTGTTTATCTGATCTTGAAATCCATACGAACTCACGCATTTTGTTAGACACAGACAAAATAAACAAGTAAATATAGCAGCACCATCATTATCAATCAAGAAATTATTATAGGGAATATGCAAAAGCTGTGATTCAGGTCAGTCACTGACTATTGCTTCATCTCTTAATCACTGAATGAGGCTAGCGTATGACTCATCACAAATGGAAGACACTTTCAGGCAAATCATTGATATTTCAGGACTTCTAAAAAAAAAAAGCGCGATTTGTCTGGTTTAAATGTGAATAGCAACACTACCACAGGTCCCAATTTTTTCCTATTCATATGCTCTGAAACAGGAAGGCAAAATGTAAGTGTCTTGATTCATGCAATAAGTATGTTTAACTGTTCAGGTACCTGTGCCTCTTACAATGTTTTCTAACTAATATTTAGCAAAAGCTGTATTGGTTGGTTAATTCTTTCCCTCTCTCCTCCCTCCTAAAAACCCATCTATAAAGCCCCATTTACTGGAAGCTGCTATCCTTACATTGCTTGTTCTGAGTAATACATTCAACTACGTCAATTTGAGGGAAGCTCATTCTGCATCTTATATATTATAAAGGGCACACTACAGTGGCCACAGCAGGCATTTTCATCATCTCGTCCGCCAGCCTCCCACCCAAACCCATGCAGCTAGCACCATTTTTTCCTCCCTCTTTTCTCCTTACCAGCTGCAAATACAAGGGTCAATGACCTAATCCCTTCCCACCAGTGGCTCAAAACAAGCTTTGGCCATCTGATCCTCTCTCTTACCCTCTGTGCCCATTTCCAGCTGAGAACAGACATAGATGAAAGGCTATCTGCACATTCCTCCTCCTTGAACTGTGCTACAGCTTCAAAAATATATAGTGCAATAAGTGATCTGACTAACTCCAAACCAGTAATTTATGCAAGTGACTCCACTGATAAAAAAAAAAAAAAAAATCAGTGAGGGTACACCTCAAAGAGTTTAGCAACAGCAACAAAACCTTTGGAAAGCTAATTATTTTACAGCTAAGTATTCACTACACAGGTAACTACTGTTCTTTGTAACACAGAGGATTGCTGTCATGATGAAAAAGAAATTCATGTGCATAAATGGAAGTAAGTTCTGTCCATCGCTTATGCGTTTTAAAAGGAACACAGACACATACCAAATTCAAAGTTAGAAATGTTAACTGCTAAATATTTAATGATTGAAAATGCTCAGTGAAAAGACATTACAGCTCTGCTCAATATTCACCAAACCCTGATTTTACAGACAAAAACCACCAAGCAGGTTTCACTATATTCAATATAGACAATATGGACTTGTTTTCATTTATTTCCCAGAGTACCCATAATCTGCAAGACACTTAAAAAAAAAAAAAAAGAGAGGCAAAATTCTGTCCTGTATCTATATTAATCATTCAGGTTTCTGGATAGCTGACCATAATTCACTGAAGAATGTGAGGAGGAAAAAAAAACCCACTCATCAATAATGGACCAGCTGATTCATAAAATACACAATAAGGAAAAGCCAGTGCCCAACAGACAGATGTATAGTCAATGTTTCTGTTTTGCAAACCTATCAGAATGCAGCAAGTTTAGTGATACTCTGAATACACTGATTAAAAACAAACTCATCATGGCCATAAACCAGTGTCATTTTCACTGTCAGTAGTTTCTAAAATAACCACCTAAGCCTTCACCTTCATGTCCACAAATACCAGAGTATTTACATAGCAGCAGAATTCCACAGTGTGTGACCACAGTGCTCTGTCTTTGTGCACAGAAGGCCTCACTGCCATTGACATTTAGGGAAAATTCTATGGCCTTTATTATGCAGGAAATCAAACTAGATAGTTCTTTCTGGCCTGAAAAGCCCATGACTTCAAAGGAAGTTCTGTGCACATACAAGTTCTAGGTTTGAGTTTCTGTTCATTATAAATTTATGCAGCTTAAGGGCAAAAAAAGAGTCATACTAGATTGGCTGAAAGACTGTTAACAAAAAGGTTTGGACCAAACACTTCTAGAACCTAACTGGTCTCCACTAACCATCCATCAGTTCCTCACAAGAACTTGGGGGATAGTAGGGGGGAGAGTTGCCTTGATCTACTGCCAGCGCTCAATGAGAAACTTAAAAAAAATGGCAATGGTAGTATCTAGTGGGGGAAATAATGGCAGGTATGGAAAGGAAAGGTCATGCTACTCAGCAGTATAGCAGCCAATCAGATATTGACCAACATTTCTCAGACAAAAAACAAACCCCAAGTATAGCTGGCCAAGTATCCCCAATTCTCCCAATCAGCTCAAAGAAACTCAGACATTAAATGCGACATTATTTTCTTTAGGCATCATGAGAAATGAAATAACTGCTTGCAGCACAAACACCCATGACTGCCTTAATCTTTGGCTTGTCCAGAGAAAATAAAATTTGGTACAAAACCACTCTCAGTAATTTTGTTCTCTGGAGCTGTCAAATGAAAATAAAATGTAAGCTTCTGAAGTTAGCGAGAGATATGGGAAAGGCAATTGCAATGGAAGAAAGAAACTGCCAACCTAACTGCAAGGTGGGGTTCCATTCTGGGAGAAAAGGTAAATGAGTGAAGTTAATGAAATAATTAACTGCTTCTTGAATTCAGACTGGGGAGAGAAACCAAATCAAATAACCACAGAGAGCTCCAATTTGTAATTTCCAACAAAGGGAAACTTAGGACAGCCTGCAAAATAGTAACAACTAAAGATAAACTTTACAGACAGAGGGATCAGCACAGAAATCTGATAAACACAGTGAACTGCAAAGTCATAGAGCTGGGGCGGGGAGCAGGGTAACAGTTTAATAGCAAACACAGAGGTAGATTGCCATTTACTGCCTGCCTTCTCCAAAAGGAATGGAAAGGGGCAGGAAAACTAGTGCTTTAACATGCAGAAATCACCACGCAGAAACATAGGCACACACATACATGTCAAGTTACAAGAGGCTGGACTGCCAGAGGTTTCCTGGGACTGTCAGACCAAAGGCGAGGGAGAGGGATTTAAAAGAAAGGGGGTTTGAAAGACCATAGGGCCATGCTTTTCTGTGAAAGAGGGAGTGTGTGGCTATTTCTCCTTCCTCCCCCGCTTGTCTCTGGTCCCATTCCCCTTTCCTTCCCCATGCATTACAAATGGCCAGGGTCCCACCCCAGTCCCAGACACCAATACCACAATCACAAGACGGGGATGGGGGGAGGGGGGAAGCTACTGCCTAGGGGGGTGGGGAGAGGCAGAGAGAAGCGATACTGGACCAGGCTTTGACTCGGATTTTGAGCTCCCCTTCCTGAGGCTCCGGCATGACTTTCTTGGACACCCGGAGCTTGTTGAGCCCCCCGAAGCCAGACAGCAGCACGGCTCGCATCTCCTTGGTGTCCCCTGCCCGCTGGCTGCCGCTGCCCTCGGCAGCTTCCTTGCCTCCCTCCTTCTCTATCATCTGCTCCGTCTCCTCCGCTTTCTCTGCTCCTTCCTTGGCCATGGCGAGGGGCTGGCGGGATGCAAAGGCGGCGGCGGAGGCGCAGGGGGCTGCGCTCAGCCTCTCCCTCCTGTTGAATGTGGAGGATGCTTAGCTGTGCAATGGCTGCAGCTGGTGGAATGGGGCTCTGGTCCTTCCAGCCCTACCGCAATGCACAGAGTAGCTGCGCAACACGAATCACCAGCCCTGCAGGTAGCCTCCGTGTAAACGCCTCGCTTCCAGCTAATCTATGAGGAGTTGATCCAGACCTCCTCCCCCTCCCGATGTGACAATTACCCGCGGATCTAGACAGCTCCCGGGCTGCGTAGTTTGTCATGGGCAGAAGGGTTGGTGGGGAAGCCCTGGGCGGGGGGAATTATGGCCTGGAGATTCTCTACCCATTAGCAGGGGACTTCAGCCCAGGATATATGGGTTTACTGCGCATTTCTCAGCCAGCCTGGTATTAGAAAGAAACCGGGCTCTATCTACGCTGGATGTGGGCAGGTGTGAGTCAGCTCTGCTCCTGACCTGCCCAGAGAGCGAGCAGCGACGGGCAGGATGCGCATAGGGTCTCTCCCTTCAGATCGTGTTGGATTGAGAGCTGGGAGTCAGGGGATTATCCTAGCCCCTGTTGCCAGATCCTAGTGGGTATAACACACTGCTTCCTCCCTTGGGAAAGAGATTTGTCCATCTAAGAATCGGAAAAAGGAGGTAAAATGCAGACCTCGTTACAATTAACCAAGCTACCCCAAAATAGCCCCTTGCCATGAATGGCCCCTGAGCTTTTGTGGCATTTTACTAAGAGCAGCTCTTCATTTCGGGGAGGAATCTCCCTGCTGTGTGCAGGGCCACTCCTCTGGGGGCCCAGGCTTATTAGAATTTGTGGGGCCTCCTACACTCCAGGGTGGGGCCAGATTTGAGGGATTCAGAAAGTAGGAAGGGGCTATAGGTTGAGGCTATAGGGTGTGGATGGGGTGAGGGCTTGGAATGGGGATGTGGTCTCTAGGATGGGGCTGGAGGTCAGGCATTTGGGGTGCATGACAGTATCTGGGTGGGATTTAGAGTGCAGGAGGGGACTCAGGGCTGATGCTTGGGGTGTGGGGTCAGGGAGGGAGTTAGGGTACAAGGCTCAGGGCTGGGGATTAGAGTGTCAGGTGCTTACTGCAGCAGCTCCCTTTTGGGACGGTGGATAGGTAGTAGTGCAGGCTGCACTGCCCTATGTTCTCCTGAAGGCAGCCCCCCTCACATCCAATCCTCCCCACACTTTTCTGCACTGCCATGATTCTCGGCCAATGGGAGTTGTGAGGGCAGAGCCTCCAAGAGAGGGCTGTGCAGGGACAGAGCTTCCCTGACTCCAGCTGGGAGGAAGGGGTATGGCAGTGTGTCAAACAGCCTCTCCCCACTCTGCCAGGAAGGGCTGGCCAGAAACACAGGGGGTGTGTCTAGACTGGCACCTGTCTACACTGGCCGCTTGAATTTGCGCAAGAGCACTGATGTTCTAATGTAAGAATTCAGTGCTTCTTGCTCAAATACTTTGATGCTCCCACTCAGGGCTAAGTCCTCTTGCGCAAGAATATTTGCGCAAGAGGGCCAGTGTAGACAGGCACCTTAATTTTTTGCGCAAGAAAGCCCGATGGCTAAAATGGCCATCAGAGCTTTCTTGTGCAAAAGCGCATCTATACTGGGCATGGATGCTTTTGCGCAAAAGCAGCTGTGCCAATCTAGACGCTCTTTTGTGGAAATACTTTTAACGGAAAAACTTTTCAGTTAAAAGTATTTCCGCAAAATCATGCCAGTCTAGACACAGCCAGGGGTTTTAGCTCTAACCTCAGGACCATGGGCTGCAGTCCCTAAAGCTCTTTCTTAAACTAGCCCATTTCACCTTCTAACACACACCACTGCATAAATATATAAATAAAGAAACTCATCTAAGGGGAACAACATAGAAAAAGAAACCACTTTTCACTAAAGTGCATGCTTTATAAAAAAGCCCTCCAGACACTAATGGAAACAATTCCCAAAATGCAACCTGGGTCTCATTTTCAAAAGCAACTCAGACAGATAGGCTCAGCTCCTCAATAAAGTGAGGATCCTAAACGTTGTTGAGGTTCTGGGGCTCAGGAGTTTCAGTTCTATTGACCTTCAAGAGATTCAGGCTCATACTGAATGTACCCAACATGTGAACTCCACTGTTCACGTACTTAAAGTTATGCACATATTGAAGTGCTCGTGGGGCCTAAAGTAATACCTCAAACAGATAAGCCTATGGTCCACTGATCACTGTAGATTTCCCTAATGTACTGTAAATAGAAAAAAATCCAGGCTTTAATACCAAAAACTACCACTTTTGTTCTGTTAGCTTCAAAATGTCTCAATTCATACTAGTAATGGGGGGTTGTACAGTGGCCCAATGTTCCCGCTATTATTTTCCATACACGTGCAGAATAAATTGTATTATGTACACCAAGGCATGTGCAAATATGGACCACCACTAGAAACAAAAAACCTACGTGTGGGTACTCTGCTAATCAGCTGGGTGGCATTTGAATATCTCCTGAGTGGCCTCACAAGTGCCCAGTACACAGGGAACACTGCAGTGGTCACATTGTGCTAGAGAATGTGTCAGGGTTCTGACTTATGCGTTCAAGGCATATTCATATTATTTAACTTCCCAAATACACATTAATGTGTCTACATGAATATATTTAGCACACAATATTTCAAGAAAGCAAAACAGCTTTAAAAATACTAATAATCAAATCATAATTAGTAATGTGTTGGTATAAGATATTGGCTCTCACATACTAAAATTATGAGTGACAATATAGACACTACAGAGTATTACTCCAGAGTCATTTTTTTCAAGAAATGACAAGTGGAATGGTAGTTAAGGCTGTGTTTATAAAATCTCTAAAAGCAGGACCAAACTCCCTTTGTTTCACACTACAATAGCTGGATTTAGTCTTCAAATCCACCTCACTATCTTCATAGAGGATACAAATAAAATATTTACTAATGTTTGCAGAGAACCTATTTTAAAATGTTCCTTTCAGAAATTCTGATATCAAAGTGTGTTAGAAGTGGTAAATTAAGGTACTTGTATTTGCAATTGATTGTGAATTGATTATGATTTGTGATTGATGCAAATATATCACAAATGAATGTACATGATAGGAGCACAGCAGTGGTCCAGCTCTTCAGAGATATTTAAACATCTCATTCCCTTTGACTTCAATAGGAACTAGGTGTATAAAGACATTAGGGGATCTGAATCACAATGAGGCTGCATTGGTCTACTTGAGAGCACAGTTTGCTCCTTTTTATCCAACATGCATTTCCCTTAATGGATATTTTGTACAGTCATTTTAAATGTAGCCATATTTTTACAATTTAACAATATTCAGGCTGGTGTATCTTTATCCATGTACTAGAGAGACCAGGAAAGGAAATGTTAATAAGAGATGACAAAGTGATATGCCACAGCCAAGGAAATTTGCTCATCCTATCAGCACTGGTAGGCAGGTAAGCATTTTAGAGGTCAGGAAGTTCCCCTCTTTCCTTTTCTCTCCCTGGAGTATAATGTGAATACTTTCTTTTCTATGCTAGGTATACTTGGCTGGCTAGATGCTGCCAAATAGAATACTAGGTTCTGCTATTTTAGATCTGGCTATCTGAATGAGCAACAAGGCAACTAGCAGCTAAATAAAGAGCAACCAACATTGTATTCCAACCGATTCACAATTCTAACTCAAATGGCAAAGTGTAAGAAGATTGGGGAAAACAGAGCAGATGATATATGTCAGCTCAGGAAAATCAAGCATAATGGAGAGATTTTTGGGGGCAGCTCCAACTTCTTTGCATCGCTGGATGTCTAAAGCAGCCACACAGCAAATAGATTTGTCCTCTCTGGGGATTGCTCTTACCTGGAGGAATCCTCTGGTTGGATAAGGCTGCAATGAAGCCCTAAGGTATGCTGGAGACCAGCTTGGTATCTCGTTTGCCCAGATAATAGGAGAAAATAAAGCTTCCCTCTGGTCCTGTATCAAGAGTAGCTTGTCCATACTAATGAGTCAAGCCTTATATCTATTGCACCTCAAAATAGAGTAAGGGATACCCTGAAATACAGCCACTTTACAACATCATTATATTTGGCTTGGAGTAGAACAAATATTTTCTCCATATAAACTACATAGATCTATGTGTTCTGCTAAGTCTTGATATAATGTAAAACTAAATAGATATTCTTGAATTATATGAAACTAGCTGATTTACCCAGAATTGCTTAGATCCATCAGTTAATTAAGGTTTTTAGGGGGGAAAGTAAAAGGAAAAGTACATGCTTTATTAAAATGCTTGTATTTTTCAAAAAAGTGTTATTTTTATAAAGTTAATTTTTATTTTGGATTTATTTAAAAAGGGCGATTGTTAATTTTTTTTCCATTTAGTTGTTTTTAGTAAATTGTTTTAAATGGGAATTCCATCAAGTGCATTTTTTCTTTATTTGCTATGTTTTAACAAAACAGTGCTTTAGTCAATTTGGTTTCCAGTAACATTTTCTTCTAGTTTTCAAACTTTAAACACTGATTTACCTGTGCCAAAACTCCAAATTTTCCCATTTTATCGCTTTTCGGTTATTGGGAAACCATCCTATTACAGGTTCATCCTGTTTTTCTGGCTCATTTTGGTTCAATCTCTCAACATTTGCTCAGTGACGTCAATTTGGAGGACTGTCCTTGCTTTGGTGATTCTGACTTGCTTCTGTTTGGTTTTATGAGAAGCAAGCCCATTTCAGGCACATTTGATTTTCCTGGCATTATTTTCTGTTATGTTAAGAGGAAGCTGGATATGTAATTTGATAGTTCCATCTCTTACCATTTAGGAGGAATCTTCAGAGGAGCAGCCGAGTTAATCTGTAACAGGAAAAACTTAAAAAACAACAAATAGACTAGTAGAACCTTAAAGACTAACAAAACGTGTAGATGGTATCATGAGCTTTTGTGGGCACAGCCTACTTCTTCAGATGACAGGAGTGTTAGAAGTCCAGATCCAAGAATAAATAAGGGAAGGAGGGAGCGGGGGAGAAGGAAAAAAAGAGGGGGAAAAAAAGGAGAAAAAAAGGAGAGGAGGAAGAAAAAAGAGAGACAGTGAGTTGACAAGC